TTGGTTGAAGTAGAGATATCGGGAACAAAAGAAACATTTAAAAATAATCCCAAAGGAGGGAAAAGAGTAGATATTACATCTATGAAACAAGAATAATACTCTATAAAAAGGTACATTTAGAAAATAAGAATGAGCCCTTAGAAATGAAATAATATGTCAGCAGGAAAAAAAAAAACCATTATTTAAAAGGTTGGGCTTTTAAAAATGAGGAAAACTCGGCCGGGTGTAGTGGTTCATACTTGTAATCCCAACACTCTGGGAGGCTAAGGCAGGAAGACTGCTCGAGACCAGGAGTTCAAAACCAGCCTAGGTAACATAGTGAGACCTTGTCTCTACACAAAATTAAAACAAAAACAAATTAGCCAGGCGTGGTGCCGCATGCCTGTAGTCCCAGCTACTGGGACTGAGACAGGAGGACTGCTTGGCCTACGAGTTCAAGGCTGCAGTGAGCTGTGATTGTGCCACTGCACTCCACCTGGGTGACAGTGCGACAGCCCCGTCTCTTACAAAAAAAAAAAAAGATGAAGAAATCTCCCAGAAAGTGGAATAAAAAGACAAAGAGATAGAAAATAGAACAGAACAGACAACAAAACTAGAGAATCAGTCCAGATCATAAACAGCTGAATTACAAGAGAAAGAGAAAATAAAAAGCAGACATCTTGAAATCATTAAAGAAATAATACAAGAACGTTCCCAGGATTGAAGGATTAGATTAGAAGGGTCTCTAGAGTAAAAGAAAGCTGCACAATGAGTGAAAAACAACTGGCAGCAAGGCCCATCATAATGAAAGTATGGAACCTGGTAATAAGGAAAATATTCCAAAAGTTCTAGAGAGAAAAAAACTAAAGATCAGGAATGATAATGGCATCAGACTTCTTAACAAGTCTAGACCTAGAAGACAATGTCATCAAAATTCTGGAAGAAAAGGGCTTCCAATCTAGAATGCTATACCCAGATCAACTATCCATCCACCGTGAGGGGAGAACTAAGACACTTAGGGACATGTAAGATCCTCTAAAATTTACTCTAACATACCCTTTCTAAGGAAGTTATTAATGTGCTTCTCCAAAACAAGGGAGTAAACCAAGGAGAAAAATATGGAATTCAGGTTCAGCACAGGACAGGTAAAGGAAATCCCCAGAAAGAGGGAGAAGGGAACTCTGAGAATGTGTGGAGGCTCAGAGCACAAAGAACTCAGACTGTGGAAATAAATCATCAGGAGATCTTCAGGAGGGGTGTCACCAATAAAATGGAGAGTTGAGAGATTGAAGTTTGTGCCTATTTCAGGAAAATATTTATTCTCCCAGCTAAGAGTTTGGGGAGATTAGTTACAGAGAGAACTAAGCAAACTAAACATCAAAACAAAACGAAACAAAACCCCCAAGGAACTCCAGGTAATTATTGACTTCCGGGAAGCCCAAACGCTGGAGAGGAAAGGGAGTATAATTGCTATATACCATGTGCTCAGATGTGAATATTTTGCAGTCATAACAATGTAAATTGTATATCTAGAAGTAACTAAAAATGATGAACAGGTAAACTGAGAGAATGGGGGAGGGGAAATGTGGCTGGTGAAGATCTAAGATAAAGCTAGTCCTCATCTTTTACACTTTAGTTGAAGGTTAACAGAAAATATGTAAAAATAAAAGTGAAAAATAAAATAGAACAGCATGTTTTTATACATATGAAGATAAATACCAGATGAAACAACTACATGAATTGGAAATGACTGCCCCTGGGGAGCAGCAATCGGGTAGGGGGAGTAGTCTGGAGACTGCTGTTTTTCATTATAAGCCTTTTTTGTTTTTTGAATTTTTATTTGTTTTTTTAGAGACAGAGTCTCACTCTGTAAGCCAGGCTGCAGTGCAGTGGTGTGATCATATCGCACTCACAGGAGTAACTTCGAACTCCTGGGCTCAAGTGATTCTCCTACCTTAGCCTCCCAAGCATCCTGAGCATCACCACGCCTGGCTAATTTTTTTTTATAGATGGGGTCTTGCTATGTCGCCCAGGCTGGTCTCACCATAACTTCGAACTCCCAGCCTTAAGCAATCATCCCGCCTCAGCCTCCCAAAGTGCTGTGATTACAGGTGTGAACCACTATGGTTGGCCAAAACTCTAATTTTTAAAAAATTATATGTGTGTTTTATTTTGATACAAATAAAATTTAAATCAAAAGACAATGTAAACTACTGTTCTTAAAATGTCCTTATTTGAATGATGTCCTTGTCCTAAGAAGTTTTGTGAAAGCTCCTCTGAGCTGAGTGGGAACAGTTACTTAACCTTTTGTTATTATTTATGCCCAGCTTCCTAACCTGACAGAGCAGGCACTCAACCACTACGTGATGACATATTTTTTGACGTATTTTTAATGACTGATGTGAGTCCCTGACCCTGGCTTTGCAGTTTTGCCATATTTGTGTGTCCCTTCGTAAGTCTTCCAAGCGCAGGGCCTGACTGCTGCCCTCTCCTTCACCCTGTGGGGCCCACGTGGCAGCGTGGAGGAGATCTGGTGGGACGCTGCGCCCCGGGGCTGACCATCGCCTCCGGGTAAGCTGGGCCCCAGTGCCCCGAGCAGGGCGCTTCGTCCCTCCTCTAGAGGGGTGATTCAGGGCAGAGCCACCTCCCGCTGCCCTCCCCAGAGTCCCTGCAGGACCCCTGCCTCCCAGCTCACTGTGACAGAATCCCGTTCACAGTCCTCGGATGGCTCCAGGTCGAAGTCCTGGAACACGAGTCTCACGGCAAAGCCCTCTGGGGCCTCGATATCCACGGTGCTGTCTTGGCCTTTGAGATATGGCTCTGGGTACCTGGGGGATGTCAGCTGCTGGGACAGCCGCTGGGCCAAGAGGACGGAGCCCTGGGTGGGGCAAACCTGGAGGACTCCCCAGAGGAGCAGCCACCACCTGTGAGTCGGGGAGGGCAAGGTGAGGCCACAAAGCTGTGCCCGAGGCCTGTGGGTACGCAGGAGTGGGGGCAGGCAAAGCTAAGGGGTGGAGGGGCCTGGCCAAGCAGTGGTGGCCTCAGTCAGCCCTGAGGCCGGGGCACTTCCTGTCTACCCCTTTTTCACCCCAATCCCTACAGCCTCCTACTCCGCTCCAGGGAGGTCTCGTCCAGAGGAGAGGGCTGCTCTCTGCTTCAGCAAACCCCACCCCCACCCTGGGATCTGGGGGATCAACCGTGGAACAAGTGAGGGACATGTACTGGGAAGATGTTTCCTGGCTCCGATCACTGAACCCGACCACCCGCAGAGAAGGCTCTAGCTCCCCTGCGGATTGACTGCTCTGTGCATGTGCACGCGTGCGTGTGCGTGCACGTGTACGTGTGCACGTGTGCGTGTGTGCGCATACGCCCTCGTGTCCTCCCTCCCCCTCTCCACAACCTGTTCTCCTCCAGGCCTCGCAGGGGTCACAGCACACTCACAGCTTGCCTGGGCAGCCTGCGGAGTGAGGGCTTCTCCAGGGGGAGTTCCCCCATTCTGGGTCCAGGCATCTGGAACTGGACATCTGGGACCTGCGGGAGAATTGGCCCAGGCTCGGGCACAAAGGGTAGAGAAGGCCCTTGGGGGAGGAGGAAGTTACTGGAAATGACCTGGGTAGTTACTTAACTCCGCCAGTTCCCTTTTTCGAATTCTCTGGGTTGGGCGCCACCTGCTGTCTGACTCGCGAATAGCGCCCCACCATAACTTGGAGGAAAAACATCCCCCAGCCGCGCGGGCCTTCAGAGATCAGGGTGGGAGGGCGCTGACTCTCGACTCTTTTGTACTGTTTAGAACTAATTTTTACTATGTCCGTGTATCACACCTGGTATGACGGCTCCTTGTGAGTTACAGCTGCTGCCTTTCATGGGCCATGCCTGTCCCTCCCTGACCTTCCCACTCGTGGACACTACCAGCCTGCCTCTAGTAGAAATTGAAGTTGCAACCGGTGGACTTGAGCTTTCTCTTCCTCTCTCGCCTCACCCAAGCATGGGTGGAGAGCATGCACTTAGGCGGTCTTCTGAATCCTGCCCACAACCTCTGGAGGCTGCTCGTCCCACAGGGTCAGGCCTGGAGTCTAGTCCAGGTGTCCCTGAGTCCCCAGCCCAGCAGTCAGTCAGGCTTCCGTAGGCACATACCAGGGCCATGGCTGCCCTCACTGCCCCAGCAACTGGAGAACCCAGGCCAGCCCGTCTGAGAAGACTTTCTAGGGAACGTGCTGGAGGAGAGGAGGAGAAAGGCCTTTAAGGGAACTTCAGGGCAGGTAGGATGACTGACTATTCTGATGTCCGTGGCACTGAGTGAGGGGTTTCCTGGGACATGGGACTTTCGGTTTTAAAGTGGGGGAAGTTATGGGCCAACCAGGACAGGTGGTCACCCTGAATGGTTAGGGATTAAGGTGCTGGGGTGACGCTGGGTGAGAAAGAGGTCAGGGAGCGGGGAGGGTTAAGGGACAGGGCCACACACCTGCAGCTGGTGCCGGGGGCAGACAGGGCCTGGTGTGTGCCTGTTTTGGGGAAATCTAACACTTTGAATATGAGGGCCTTCCTGGTCCCGTCCAGGTGCTGTGGCTGCAGTGTGTGTCGGGGTTAAGGGGAGGACGCCTCTGGGGACGTGGGACTGGAGAAGAAGCCTGGTGGTTGTATGGACCGCTGGCCACTGCAGGGCTTGTGGGCTGGGCAGTCATGCCCCGTGGTGTTTTTAGCATCACCTCTGCGGCCCCAGGGCCTCTTCTCCAGCTGGCAGGGTGGCTGTTGCTCCACAGTTTGTAGCTTCGGCAGGAGAAGCAGAAGTAGTTACTCAAGTAGTTACAGCACAGACTCTTCAGGGCTGGCACTGTATGGGATGGCACGCATGTCCATGGGGTGGGGGCGTGGGGAGGATGAGGATGTAATGACGTGGGCTCTGGAGCTGTGGGGAGGGGAAGGGAGGGGAGCAGGTCTGAGAGAGAGTGAGCACTCCTTCCTTAATTTCATCATCACCGGAGGCTTTGGCTCACCTTGGTCTGTCTGGGGCACAGGTAGGGGCTAGGATAGGCTCCAAGCTCTACGGGTATGTTGTCCTCTCATTGTGTGATGCCTGGCTCATAACTAGGTTGCGAGCTATTTAAGTGTCTCAGGTATTTTTACCTTTGTTCCCCTAAACAATGCATGCATGGAGCAGACTTGAGGCAGCCTAGCTAAGCTTAGAAAGAACTGAGCTGAGATTTGAGCTAAGATTTGATCGGCTCAAGATAGTTCGCAGCATGAGTAAAGCCAAGTTAACTGCCCACTTGAAAAAAAAATTAATACCCTGTGGAGGCACATCCCAGAATCCATGGTTTTTATAATGTATCAATCACTATATCTAGGATATAGTGTATAGTAATCCAAAGTTACTCAAAATATGAAGAGACGGGAAAAACAAACTATGCTCAAGAGGAAAGACAATTAACAGAGATGATCCCCCAAGATGACCCAGATGTTGGAGTCAGTACACAAGATTTTAGTACATAAAGATGCAAAGAAAAATATGCTCATAATAAAGAAAAAGATAGGAAACAGAAGCAGAGAAATAGAAACTTTAACAATAACCAAATTTAAATTCCAGCACTGAAAGTTTCAATATATGAAATAAAAAAATTCATTGAAGGGGCTTAATAGAAGAATGGAGATGGCCGGAGGAGAGTCAATGAACTTGAAGACAGGTAGATAGAAATTATCCAGTCCGGTGAACAGAGGGAAGACAGTTTTAAAAATGATCAGAAATTCAGGGACCTGTGGGACAGTGTAAAAAAACTCTAATATATGTGTTCTTGGAGTTTCAGAAGGAGAGGAGAGAGGGAATGAGGCAGAAAAAATATTTGATGAAATGATTGCTAAAAACTTCCCAATTTTGGTGAAAGACATATTTTCAGATTCAAGAAGCTCAGTAAACCCCAAACAGAATTGGAAATAAAAAACAAAAAAAGCACGGCTTGGCATATTATGGTAAAACTGCTAAAAACCAAAGATAAAGAGTAAGTCTTGAAAGCATCCAGGGAAAAGGGACACACTGCATACAAAAAACATTTCTAATGTCATTTTTTTTTCATCAAAAACAGTGTAGGCCAGAAGATGGTGGAACATCTTTAAAATGCTGAAAGAAAAAAAAGTCAGCTCAGAATTGCTTTCCCAGTGAAAATATTCTT